TTGCCAGTTTCTTTGCTGTGGCTGGAGGTAGAATTGTGGCCAGCAGCTGTCTGGAGTAGTGTGGTAGTTCATCTTGCGAGGTTTCTGCAGGGATGCCCTATATTTTTGTATTGGTGCTTCTTTGCCTTTCCTCCAGTGCTGTCAATTGTGCAGTCATAGTTCTTTGCTGAGTCCACACTTGTTGTAATGATTCCTGAAGCTCGGACTGGTGTTCCTGTAGGCTCACAATGTCTTTTTCAGACACCTGTACTCTTTCTGTGATTGCCTTGATGTCTTTCTTGATGGGGACCAGTTCTGCTGCCAAGATTATATAAAAGTCTGTCAGCAGTATTTTGCCTGGTAGTAGGGGTCATGTCGGCTGGGTCGTCCTGCCTTGTTGGGCGCGCCGGATGAGTGTCCATGGAGGTGTTTTGCTCTGTTTGCTCCTGGAGGTGAGTTTGGGTTACGGGGTGCGGGGATTCAGCAGGGCCGGTTTTGGCCTGTGCGGGCCGTTGGAGTATGGCCCTGATGTCCCTGTTGTCCGCCTGGTGTTGCGGTCACTGTGAGCGGCGTCCCAAGGCTGGAATGCAGTCAGGCTGATCTGTTGCCGTTGGGGATGCTCTTTCCCATGCTATTGCCACAGTGTCGCTCAGGATCGCCTCCAGGCCCATGTATGATAGCATGGGGTAGGCCCCAAATTTTCGCCTCCGCTTGGGCTGATGAGAGGCCGCAAAGAATGGCATCAATCACCTCAGGGTAGGTTAAGGGGTCTTGCTGATGACTTTTTGCAGGTGGATGGGCTGGTGGTAACTTGATATTTCTCGGATTTGTTTGATTTCGATGGTGTTAGTTGATTGGGGTTCGGGAGAGAGTGTAACACAGTTATGCATCTGTGAACCGACAATAACTGTGAGTGTATAAATAGCTAAACAGACAAAGACAAGGGGAGAAAAAGGACAAGACAACAACACTTCTTACGACCCTTCTATTTGTAGCTCCTAATAAGCTGTTCGCCTCATGTTTGTGAATATGGTCCTTGTAAGCGTGTGTGTATAGATAAATTTAGATGCTGAGGGGGTTCAGTTTTGGGCGATGGTCCAACCAGCACTCCCACAGCTTAGTGTGTGCCTCCTCTTTGCCTGTTAGCCTGTATGCCATATGTTCATATGTATAGGCGGATTTAACTCTGTTCCACACTTCCTGGAAAGATGGAGGGTTTATGTCCCTCCAGTGAAATGCTATACTGTTTTTTGCTGTCAGTAGGAGGTGTATAATGACACAGCTTTGGGGCACTGATAGGATTGCTGGAGATAGATGTAGGAGATAACATTCTGGTTGGAATGGCACCTTTTGCAGAGCGATCAGGGATATAGCATCCCCTACCCTGTGCCAGAAAGTCGTTAAGCTGGGGCAGTTCCAGAAGATGTGTTTAAGAAAGCTAGTGTGTAGGCCACATCTCCAGCATATCGGGAATACAGTGTGATACATTTTTGTGGAAGAGGTTATTGGAGGATGACCTTGTTTTCTTGCAACGCATATAGCCATAATGGAGTTGGAAAGGTCTTGTTGAACTGTGATGAGACCAGTCTCGCCACATTGCATTGGAGAAGCCTGGTTGCTCGCCTGTTGCCTTTGGATTATGGCCCCATGTTAAAAGGCTTGATTTCCCCCTGCAAAGACATGGAAGCTGGGTCATTTGGTGCTTGCCCTGTTTGAGCGGTGATACCCCAGATAGCTATGCCATGGAGCCCATTCGTATAATGAAAGACTATGGGAAAGACTTTGGCTCCATGGCAATTGAACTGTATGTGTGTGATCTGAGCGCCATTCAGTAATAATGTGCGCTCAGATCTGAGCTATCTGTTGAATGTACCTGTTTTGTGCAATGGCTGCACAGTTATATGTTTTTATGTGTTTTATTGTCTTTTGCTGCCATGTGTTCAATGGAGTTTAGCCTCTGTCCTTGGAGATAATTGGATTACTTCCCAATTATCTCCAGGATAGAAGACTCTGTGGAACTGGTTTTGGGCAGAAAAGCCAGGCTTCCTTTGGTCACAAAGGACTACGAACTATCTTTTGAACCACTGGACCAATTTGTATGATTTTGACGTATGTTTGTATTGGAGTATGCTGATTCTGAAAATGTAAGTTATATGTGAATGTGATGCATACTTTTCAAGTTATGAATAATGTGGAAAAATTGTATTTCTCTGCTTGTTATAATTACATTACCCATTGTGTAAGGTAATTCAATCACAGGCAGAGGGGAGGATTTTGTGTGGGAGTGTCTGAGTGTATTGTATGTGTTTATTGGTTGTGTTCCAAAACCCTGTGGGTGGTACTAATGTGTAAGAATGTGTACATAAGCACAATAAACCCACAGCTCTGTCTGTTCAGTGCTTGACCCTCAACACGGAGCTTTGTCTCGTTCTTGGGGGGATTTATTGTATGCTGTTCCAGTTCGACTGCTAGGAGTGTAAACCTTTCGTATGGTTTTTCCTATTCGGCTGTTTACAGCATTCGTATGGTTCCTGTTCGGCTGTTTACAGCATTCATATGCTTCTCCCTGTTTGGCGGATTGGTGTTCTGCAGTAGCTGTGCCTGTGTCTCTGGAAGGGACGATCTACTAAACGGCGGTTTAACCCTTTTGTGCTAAGGGTGCCATTACATGAACTCTCCCTCCCATAGCGTCGTGTATGTGTGTTTAGTGGGTGGCTCAGCTTCGTTGATTGCTGAATAACACAAAGAGAGGATTTTTTTGTTAGTGCATTTGCGCATGCAGTATTGGCCAAAGGCCGTTATTTGTGATTCATCACAGTACCCTATTTGGTGTGCTTGTGTAATATGTTTGAGTCTTAGGTAGGTAAAGGTGTCCTGAGATGAGAGTGCGTATTTTGATTGTAGGTCTGGAAAGGACCTAAGACCCTGAGATGTGAATAGGCTTTTAATGGATAACACTCCCTTTTGTACCCAGCTCCCTATTGGGATGTCCTCCGAAAATGCTGACAGTGCTGTCATGGGAGCAAAAAAGAGAAGATTGTCGGTCCCTATAGGATTACACGCCCATCCCTTCCAGCTCTGTACCAGGAATTTTGTACCAGGAAGGTTCTCTACCTTCCCAGGTCAAAAAGAACCACATCCCATGCTCGATAGTGTTTGGCTGTATGCAAGCATTCTCCAGGGCTAACCATATTGGTGGTCTGGTGCCTGACAGGACCTCCAGTCCCTGCGCCAAAATGGATTTGGTCTGACCAAGTCCTCAGCCCAATATTCACCTCCGCTATATTCGTAAGAGTGGCTTTATCCACTATACATAGGTCTATACGGGAATATGTAATATGGACCGGAGAGAAATGTGTGTAATCTCTTTCTTTTGGGTAAATTGCATCGTAGAGATTATGGTATAATAGTAATAGTAATTTAGAAAAGAGATTGCTGGTCAACCTGACCTGTTCGTTGGGGCGTTTGTTCTGCTCTCTCTTTATGTCTAGCTTGGGGTTTGTTGTGCAGTTGAAATCCCCACAGATTATTGTGTGGCCTTGTTTCATGGAGTCTATTTTTTGCAGGGATTTACGGATGAAGACTACTTAAGCTGTGTTTGGGGGTAAAGAGACACTATCATGATGACAAAACCATGAAGGGGTCCCACCAAAATCAGGAGCCTCCCCACAGCATCCATGTATTTCTTACTTTCTTGAAATACCCAGTCAGTATGGAAGAATATGGATAACCCTTTTGATTTGTGTGGGGAATAAGCATGAAAGGCTTGGGGATAGTTTTTTGTGTAAATCTGGGGAGGATTACGTGAGCAGAAATGTGTTTCCTGAAAGCATATAACAGACACTTTTGATTTTCCAACCTCTCTGAGGGAGATGACTTTAGTCCGCATAAGTTAAGTTCGGCTTGCAGGCAATTTGGTCTGAGTTGCTCGGCTGGCATGGAGTAGTGCTAGAGACAATACCAACTCAGCATATTTGACCGGTCTCATATCGGCAGTGTTAGCAGGGATAATCTGCATAAATTGCTAACATAGGCCAGTAACTGAACAGCAGTAAGTGTATGGTGATACTCAGGTGGTTGGTTTGGCTGCTGTGCACCAATAGCGGCCCATTAATCCGTTGATCTATCTATACACATTTGAACATTGCGCTTATCAAACCTCATTATTTGACTTTATATACTTAAAATAGGAACCTAAGCTAACAACTTAACACCAATAAACATATTGTGATACTCAAGTGCCGGAGATCCTACTAGTGTCCATTCTGGTTTTATTCTTTTTGGCGAGGGTCTTCGAAGTGAGGTCTGGCCCATAGCATGATGAAGGCCCCATTCCTTAAGCTTTGCCATTCCCACCTCTGGTTCTAGTATTACCACTGATTTTCCTCTATGCCACACCAGAAGCTTAGTCAGGGTACCCTCATCTATATGTGATGTTGTTGTTCTGCAGAGTTTTAGTCACATTAACAAATTCTCGCCTTCATGCCATGGTAGTTGCAGAGAGGTCAGCAAAGATATTTATCCCTTGGTATGGGTTAGGTAATGTTGTAAGCTTCCTCACTGCGTTCAGCAATTCCTCTTTGGAGCTGTAGTAACGGAAGCAGGCAATAGTGTCCTTTGGAGTGTACGCCGTAAATCTAGCCTGACTAGGGAGTCGTGTAACCTGTCGAACGTCCATGATCCATCAGCCAGGTGCGGTACCAGGGCTTTGCACAGAGCTTTCAGATATTGTGGTAAGACTTCTGTGGAGACAGAGTCAGCTATGCCTCGGAAGCGGATGTTATTACGCCTAGCTCTGTCCTCCATATCGGCCATTTTCAGCTTCATCGTGGCCTGTTCTTCCTCCAACCTTTGTAATTTGTCCACCACTTCATTATGAGTGAAACAAAGTTCCTACATCTTGGTCGCCCAGATCCTGGATATCCTGTCAGAGATCCGCCGTTATTTGAAAAAAGTCAGCTCTGAGAGATGTTTTAAGGTCCTGTAGCATGAGGTGCAAGCTCTTGTTTGTTACAGGGATGTGTCACGACACTCCTTAGCTGATCTGCCCTCGTGCAGTACTCATACTCACCACTGTTTCTGTTTGGCACTGTTCCTGATTTCCTTTTATTAAGCACTTCACCTGGTTCTTGTTTAGCACCTATTTAGTTTGGTTTCTCCCCTCACTCCCTGCCAGATCATTGCCTTTTGTTTCCTGTTTCCCTGGTTTCCTGTGTTCCTGGCTCCTGGCTCCTGCGTGCTGTGACTTGGTCCTGTGTCCTCCTGGTCCTGTGTTATTGTGTCCTCCTGGTCCTTCGTTGTTGTGTCCTCCGGTCCTGTGTTCTGGTTCCGTGGTCCCGGCTTTACTACCAGTGATCCTGTCCCTGCAGATGTCCCTTTATTAGTCTGGTGACTCTGGATCTGTGCCCTACCTGTTACTCGTGGTAGCTGCACAATCTTACCCTTATACCCTAGGACTATTACAGTATTTGTTGCCTGCATGATTAGTACTAATTTTGATTTACTGTATATATTTAGTGGCCTTGTGTGTGTAAATATTGTTTTGCGTTTTCCTTTGGTTTTCTGTAAATATATATCTCTTGATTTATCCTATTTATTTGTGTCTTGGCATTTATTTCTCTGCTGTATGGGTTCCCACATTTAAAGTGACAGTGCTGTTCCAGGGCAGCACCCCTTCATGTCATTACAGAATGATCTGGCCATTTGGAACCAGCAGAGAATAATGTCCAGGATCACGATGGATAAAATTGTTGGTAATAACGCTGATTCACAGCAAGAGTATGCTCTCATTAAGACATGTTATGATCAGTTAAAACATATCCAGCGGCAGATAGAAAAGGCATCTGCCCTCTGCTTGTCTACTATAACTGTTTCTTTCCAAGTTCAGAAATCTGTATTATGTGGACTTATCACTGAACTGCAAATTTATCACAAACAAATATGTGACCCTTTGCTTTCTCTGCTACCTAATTGCAAAAAATGGTTGAGAAAGCCCACTGTGTTAAATAGGGTGAATGAACTTCTTTGTGTGTCTCTTAAAGAAACATCACGTAACAAATCTTTATCGTTTATGCAGAAACAGTTAAGAGTTATGCACAATAATTACATTGCCTTGATTCCTGAAATTATATTTCTTATTGATTTAGTACAGGAAAGGATGAGTGTCTTTATGTCTGATACTGATGTTTACATTCCCTTTCCTAATTTGCATAGCATCCCTAATCCTCCTGACTCTGACTTGGACAAAAGGCTTGCTGATCCTCCCGACTGCAAAACCAAAATTCCTCATGAATTTAATGCTGAATGCCTTCCAGCCCAAACTGAAGACGACGATGTTGAAGGGTTATATAGCACTGGCGATCCCCTCATGGACCGGGTCTTTGATGAACTGGGTGCTCATTGCATAGCAGCTCTGGAGGACGAGCAGCCTGAATGTGGAGGTAGTACCAGTACGCAGTTTCCTAATATCTCAGTACCAGAGACCCGTAGTACCCTTATACCACAGTCTCTTTTCTGCAAGATCCACTCGCCTATTCCCAAAGTGAGAATACCGACTACCAAGATGAACGATCTCAACACTGTTCAGGAGGGTACAAGTCTGGTCAGAGAGTGTCTCAAGCAAAGTCTGCCCAGCCACGAAGCAGAAATAGACTCCCCTGAGTCTGCCACCAGAGATACTAATTCCTCCCTCACAGTGACAATTGAGGAGACCACCAGTGACCTTGACCAGGTGACTGGATCTGATCTGGAAGTCTGTCCCACAAAGGACAAAGCATTCAATACTGTTAGTGTCAACCCAAATACTGACTCTATGGAATCAGAGATTCCAATTTCTCCACCTCTTCCCAAGTCATCCTACAAATTTGACTCAGATCAAATAGACATGGCTGAGTCATCTAATACTGGAGACTCAAAATTGGAAGAGTCACCTATAAAATTTGCTCCAGAGGATGAAAGTGACGACAAGACTGGACCATTGAAATTGGAGACTAATCTCGTGGAAGATGATCCTCCTATCAAAAAGACACCACGTAGGAAACGTGGTAAACGACCTACTTCTTTCAAAACACTGTCTGAGAATGCTGAAAAACCTAAGGTGAAAGCTTCAGAGCAACCAGTGGAAGAAGAGGTTATTGTGCCAAAGGCAGCTCATGACTTTGATGTGGAGAGGCTTGATGATTCCAATTTTAACCCCTTTTACCTCTGGGGGTTCGAAGATTGGCACCTCTCTCACAACCGCAACTGTGAAAAATGAATTGTCGCCAAGTAAAGACTATTATCCTCAAATAGAAGACAAAGAGTCAGACTTGGTGCAACGTGACAAACCCGTGATGGATCAAGCCCAAGAAAAGGATCTAAATGAGACCGGGCTTGTTCTGAACCCACAGTCTGAAGAAGACTCTACAGTTCTATGTAGGTCTAATATCGTTCTTCAAGTTACATGCTCTAGTAGAACAATTTTTCTGCTGCAAGAGGAAACACCAACTACCACACTTGTACCTGAACCAAGCGTCGAAGATTATTCAAATCAGCCGCTTAACCAAACTCCAAAAGAAGTGAGTGAACCCGAACAAGAAGGTAGCATCCACATATCCGGTACCTGTTCCCATGATGAAGGAAGTTCCTTCTATGACATATCAGTTGCCAGGATGTCTGTCACTCCACCTAAACTCCAGCAAGTATTAAAAGAAGACTTGCCTTCAGTTGAGAGTACTTCTATGACAAGTAAAGAACTACCTCAAGCTGAGCTCACAAGCGAAGAAGAGAATGATTTAAGTAACCAGGTATCTCTAGCCGTTACAGAATTATATCAATTTGAGAGAGAATCGTCCCTGCTTCGGCTGGCCCCATGCTCCGAGATATTGGGGGAACCGTTCCTTGATGCATATCTGCGGTCTGAGGAGGAGGGCTCGCAGAGTGCTCCTGATCCTGTACTCACTAGTTTAGGGGATTCTCCTCGATTGATTCCAGTTATATCTACCCAAGATAATGCAGAGACTGTTCTCCCTTCTACAGAAGTTGCATCGCAGTCTTTGTTCCGAGGATCTTACAAGCCAGAAACCAAGTCAGACCCAGGATTTCTGAGTGATGCACCTGTTACCAGCAATAGTCCCAGATCTAGTGGGTTAGCACATTTGTCGATCACTGGTAAGGAGTGTTTATCGTATGTGCCTTTAATTTCTGTTTATGTGTCTGCCCTTCTAATGCTAAATGTTACTCTACAGTCCTTGCTCTTGTATGTTTCTATTCTGCCTCGTTGGTTTCTCCCGTGGGATTCTCCGCCTCTTATTCCTCCTGAACCTCCTCCTTGTTTTCCTCTACTGGTTGGGTGACCCTGTTTTTCTTCTGTCACCCGTGGGGGATCTTGGGGTTTTGGAGCGCCAGGAGTCGCTCCTTAAGGGGGGGGTACTGTCACGACACTCCTTAGCTGATCTGCCCTCGTGCAGTACTCATACTCACCACTGTTTCTGTTTGGCACTGTTCCTGATTTCCTTTTATTAAGCACTTCACCTGGTTCTTGTTTAGCACCTATTTAGTTTGGTTTCTCCCCTCACTCCCTGCCAGATCATTGCCTTTTGTTTCCTGTTTCCCTGGTTTCCTGTGTTCCTGGCTCCTGGCTCCTGCGTGCTGTGACTTGGTCCTGTGTCCTCCTGGTCCTGTGTTATTGTGTCCTCCTGGTCCTTCGTTGTTGTGTCCTCCGGTCCTGTGTTCTGGTTCCGTGGTCCCGGCTTTACTACCAGTGATCCTGTCCCTGCAGATGTCCCTTTATTAGTCTGGTGACTCTGGATCTGTGCCCTACCTGTTACTCGTGGTAGCTGCACAATCTTACCCTTATACCCTAGGACTATTACAGTATTTGTTGCCTGCATGATTAGTACTAATTTTGATTTACTGTATATATTTAGTGGCCTTGTGTGTGTAAATATTGTTTTGCGTTTTCCTTTGGTTTTCTGTAAATATATATCTCTTGATTTATCCTATTTATTTGTGTCTTGGCATTTATTTCTCTGCTGTATGGGTTCCCACATTTAAAGTGACAGTGCTGTTCCAGGGCAGCACCCCTTCATGTCATTACAGGATGTCATCTTGAGAGAATGAGAGCATCTCCGACTCCGCTGGGCCATCAGAAGCTGGTGAGTGCGGTAAGATGTCGTTGCCATCTTGTATTTGCCTCGTGCAGTCTTTTTTGCTCTGCCGCATTGGGTCAGTGAGTTTCAGCTGTTTGGAGGGTGCCATCTAGTCCCCTGAGTTATGTGCCCCCAGAATATGGGCTTTTGTAGCTTGTTTGGCTTATTTTTAGTCGTTTTGGGACCGGTGGTTCACGGAGCTCTATAAATATCTAAGAATAATTGAATATCAGTTCTTTTTGGGTTAAAATTACCCAACAGAAACGTGTAAATTCAGAAACAGTTCCCAGCAAGAACACAGTTTATTTACGTCTATCTTATTTGAAAGGTTGCTCTAGGCACAGGGCCAGACTGGCCCACCGGGATACCAGTGTGCTGGCGGCCGCAGGTGGGAGCTGGCTGTTCTGGCGACTAAAGGGGGGAGTTGGCTCCAGGCTGTTCTGGCGGCCGCAGGGGGGAGCTGGCTGTTCTGGCGGCCGCAGGGGGGAGTTGGCTCCTGGCTGTTCTGGAGGCCACAGGGGGAGCTGGCTGTGCTGGCTCTGCTCCCTCGTCCTCGCGCACTACTTAATGAGACCGGGGCCAGAATATGACGTCATATTCCGGCCCCGGTCTCATTAAGCTGCGCCCTGGGGAGCAGAGACAGCACAGCCAGCTCCTCCTGCGGCCGCCAGGACACCTGACCCAGCTGTCTGCCCTGCACGACTCCCTGGCTGGTCGTCCACATATTATGTGTCAGTCTGTCAGTGTGAGTGTATGTGTGTGTGTGTGTCTGTGTCATGGTGTGTGTATCTGTCATGGTGTGTGTGTGTGTGTGTCATGGTGTGTGTCTGTCTGTCATGATGTGTGTGTGTGTGTGTGTGTCTGTCATGGTGTGTGTGTCTGTGTTATGGTGTGGTCTGTCAAGGTTTGTGTGTGTGTCATGCTGTGTGTCTGTCATGTGGTGTTTCTGTCATGGTGTGTGTGTCTGTCAAGGTGTGTGTTTGTCTGTCAAGGGGTGTGTGTGTCTGTCATGGTGTGTGTGTGTGTGTGTGTCTGTCATGGTGTGTGTGTGTGTGTGTGTGTCTGTCATGGTACGTGTGTGTCTGTCATGGTATGTGTGTGTCTGTCATGGTATGTGTGTGTCTGTCATGGTATGTGTGTGTCTGTCATGGTATGTGTGTGTCTGTCATGGTATGCGTGTGTCTGTCATGGAGTGTGTGTGTGTCTGTCATCTGTCATGGTATATGTGTGTGTCTGTATCTGTCATGGTGTCATTTTTTCTTCCCACGCCGTGCTGCAGGGCTGCTTTGTATCCCCAGTCCAGCCCTGTCTAGGTATCATACTTTGTTTCTGAACTGGCAATGTAATTTTTATCCACGTTTGGACGGAACTCTCTCTCTTCTCATCAAAAGAGTGCCGAGGCATGCAGTTGTTTATAGAAGAATAGTTTCTTCCTGATGTGGGAAGTGTCTGTCTGCAAATTTTTAATGCAATATATTTGCAATAAATTAACAATATGGGTTATTATATTAACCATATTCACTACAGAGCTCTTTTCAGTTAAAATAGCTTAAATGGGCACTATAGTGTCAGGAACACAAACATGTTGTTATGGGCAAATGCAAATATATTACGTTTTAGAATGAAAAGTTGTATTTCTTAAACTGTGTACTTTGTCTTTAAGAAATTTTGCAAACTGACAAGTTGTTAGAGATGGAACATATTGTTTTTCATTCAATGTTTCTTTAATAAATGACCTCTTAGCCATATTCAGTGAATATGGTGTTCAGACTTTAGGACACCATCTTATCCTAGGTTAGTGTCATTTCCCATGTCATGTGCACCTTTACATTTTAGTTTAAACATAGATAAGATGTTCCCATGTGAAATGACCAAGTTATGGCCTCGTATCTATGCCAAGTTAAGGTAGGTTCTAAAATGACCTAACTGAATATCTAAGGTATAAATATGTGTACTTTTTAATATTAGGACGCAGAGGAGAGATATTGGAGACAGAGACGCTGCTCCATTTTATCATGACTGAGACAGCGTTTAACATGTTCAGGAGGGTATGTTATTCTATTTTACTGATATTGCAAGCATATACTTTAATCTTTAAACTATGCTATAAATTATTGTAATGGATTATTAAGGTTTAGCACTAACCCAGGAAGAACCTCTAGTTGCCGTCTCTGAAAATGCAGTGTTTACATGGAAATACCTACAGGTGCTGTCTATACTCACCAGAACAACTACATTAATATTTATATAAATTAAGGAAGCAAATTTGTAGCATTCCTGTCCATGATACCTAATAAAATAATAATACATTTGTATGGTAACCTCTATCTCCTAATATGTAAGACACTGTGGCCTTGATTTAATAAGGTTTCCAAATGACTTACTACTTTTAGAAAAACTGTCTAAATGATTTATATAAAAACAATTCCCTAAGACCTTATTGGTGACTTTTGTAGATCAGTAATTTGGAAAGTTTTTCTAACAGTATTGAATTATTTGCAAAGCATTTTTAAATTAAGGCCACGGTCTGAGATATTATAATAAAATAAAAATGCATTTTGTGCCACATGGATGGGTGTGAAAAATGGCTTAGCAAAAAAGCAAAAGGCCCTGTTTATAGGTATTTAAACCTGTTTAAGAATATTTTAAAGAACTCAAATATTTTATGAGAACACAGTTTAAAACAAAGGGCGTGTGAATGTTAAAAGGTTGCAGTGTATTGTGAACACACGGATAAGGAGAAGTACATTGTGCTTTAAAATTGTTTGAATTGTTATACTATTATTTTGAAAATGTTTTGTTTTTTTAATGAAAAAATTGTTAAAAATAAATTGAAAAGAACTGTGGTGCCATGTATCAACCTGGTGCTTCATAGGAGCAGCGCCATCAAATCAACTTGACAGATAATATTTTATGTGAGCTTTTTTGCCTCATTCCTTAACCTTTTTTCCTCCATCATTGTTCTTTTGCCTTTTTATCATTTATTTTCTTTTGTTCATTCTCCCTTTACCCATTTTCTTATCTTTCACTGGTCTTTTTCATCTTTCTCTCTCACCAAAATTTGATTTCAACTATTAATTTCTTTTGTTCTTTTGCCTTTTTATCATTTATTTTCTTTTGTTCATTCTCCCTTTACCCATTTTCTTATCTTTCACTGGTCTTTTTCATCTTTCTCTCTCACCAAAATTTGATTTCAACTATTAATTTCTTTAGTCTTTTTTACAAATCTCTATTCACATCTTTTTCTCACCCTAAGCCCACAATATGAACCCCTTTCTACATAAATCTATGTTATCCACTCTCTGGCAGCTATTTCCTCATCTTCCACCAATCTCACCATTCTAACTGCATCTCTTTCAGTCTTTATCCACCAATCTCCAACATGTACTACAGCTTTTCTTCCCTAGTCGTTTTTGTGTGTTTTTTTTTTAAATTTCTTTTTTTATTACAAGA